TACAAAATTGAAATGGAAGAACTAGTAATTTTTTTTAAAAAATAAATGATTGTGGTGAAATAAATATGAAATTTTAAAAGGTTGTACCTAATATTTATATAATCGAATAATTTATGTTTAATGATTTAAATGAGAATATATAAATGTGTTTATGAAGGAAAATTCACGCCATATACATATTTAAGAGTAAATTTTACGGATTTTAAACATACTTTTAAACAATTCTTACTTGTAACAGTTTATTTACGGGTTATGACATATCAATTAAATTTAATTTAATTTAAAAATCAATTTCAATTTATTTAATAAATGATTAATCTGTTTATATTTTTATATTATTAATTAATAATATTTAATTAATTTGATTCAGTTCCTTTTTTAAGACTGAAATCATCAATTACACATATTAAGGGATTTACATAGATTAGACTTTTTTGTTTACTGTTACACTCCAAACCTACCATACCTCAATTCCACCACCCTCCACCCACGCCTATTCAAATCTACACGCCATCACCCCCACTACCCCACTTTCACCTTGTCTCTCCCATTTTTCTCACCAACCAACTACACCATTTTCACAATCGTCCGTCCAATTAAGTTTTTCAACAAAATCATGTCTAAGAAATTCATTGAAACGCCTCGAAAGAGTCCCAGATTGATTGAAGGAACTTCTACTGATGAAGTTCATGCTCCAACTTTCAATATATTAACTCAAACTCCCCGCCTAAAATTGTTGAAAATTCGGCGAATATTGAAAATCAGGCGACGGGTGGTTCATCTCAGTTGAAGGATCGGAAAGAGAAAAAAAATGAAGCAAAGAAAAGGGCGACCCAGGCAAATCAAAAGAGGAAGAAAAGGAAGGGGAAAATTGTTGAAACCCCTTCTGATTACGATTCTGATTTTGTTAGTGAAATCAAAAAGAAAAAAACAAAAGAAAAAACAAATGTAGAAGTTGCTCAATCTTCAAAACCATCAACAAGAAGAACAACAAAAAGAAGGAATTAGAAATATCAACATCCAAAAAACACAAAAAAGTTGTTAGGGTAAGTACTATATTTAATTTATTTTCACATTAGTCAAAATAGTGATTTTTTTACATCACATTATGCTTATTGTTGTTTTCGAAATATTTATTTGTGTAAAAATTGTTCGAAATCTGAAAAAAAATATGTATGAATCTGAATTTAATGTTTGATTGATGGATATTGTATGAATTTTGATACAATTGATATGTGAATGGTATGAATTGTGTATTAATAGTGGTGTGATTGTCTCTTAATTGTGTATATGGTATGAATTATTAAATTGGTATGCAATTTGTATGAATTGTTTAATTACTCTGTTTTTGTATAAATTTTGAATAGTTTTTATATGAAATTGGGACTTTTCCTATTAAGAAGGTTTCTTTTTCAATTTATCCATTAATGTATTAAAATTGTTAAATTATTTTTAGCGTATGTCGATAAATTTATGAAAGTAGATTGATGAATGCCACAGTGCACATGAAAATGGAATGATGTTTGAATAAAATTGGTGTGATTTTTTTTATAAATATGGTATAAGGCATTACTAAAATTTATCTATATGCATGTGTATGAAACATGAATAATACTTGTATGAACATACTTTTATATTTTTTTATCAATGTTTTTATGATTTTGATTTATTTTTGGTTTAATTTATATGATATAATTTAATTATAACTATCTTTAAACTATAGTTACTACTGGAATGAAACTTGTATAATACTTGTATGAACATACTTTTATATTTTTTTATCAATGTTTTTATGATTTTGATTTATTTTTGGTTTAATTTATATGATATAATTTAATTATAACTATCTTTAAACTATAGTTACTACTGGAATGAAACTTGTATAATACTTGTATGAAGTATGTTTTAATTTAGTATAAACAATTTTATTTTATAGGCAAGGAAGATACACACACACTGGTCTTCATGTACAAACATGAATGTGTTTGCTGATCTGTTGATTTTCAACAATTTCTGAAAAAAACACCTTTTCGTGTATTTTATGACATGCACAACATAAAGATTCAATGTCAACTATTGCGGCATTTGATGATTCTTGAATCTGAAAATGTCAGAGACGACATGCTTGTTGTGAAAATAACGATACAGAATTACGTTTTGGAATTAAGGAATTCACAGCGATAACTGGTCTTAAATGTGGACTACTTAATGATTTTTTATCAGATCCGTCTATTCCCAATAGACTTATCCTAAAATATTTTGGGGAAATGACCAAAGTCCCTAAGTTAGACTTATTCAATAAGTTTAAACATGCTAACTTTTTTGAGACCGAAGATCGCTTAAAAATTGGCATTATGTACTTTATTACTTCATTTTTTACTGCTTCAGAGCCCTCCAAAACAACCATTCCTAAATTGTATTTGATTTGGTTGAGATCGGTCAATATGTCAACTTCCCATGGGTCATTGTGGATACTAAGAAGTGGACATTGATCACTAACTATATATTTTATCTCTATATCATTAATATCACCATCTATCATAAGCTGCGATGTTATCGCACTTACTAGACCACTATAAAGACTAGAAGATTCATATATAATCCCCTCCATCTGAAAATCAACATATTTCCCTGTTTCATTAAAAAAAAAAAATTAGTCATCCAAAGAACATATAAATTTCATCCACAAAATTCATTATAATAACAACAAAACTATACACACTTGTCATTATCTTTTCATACAAATATCATTCAGACAGTACTCTACAAAATGGATTTAAAAAAATAATAATATTTCACATTTCATACCCACTTAATACATATTTCATATAAACAATCATCACTCATACCAAATTTATACACAATTGACAAAACTTATATAAACAATAAAATTTCAAATTTTATACCAACTTTAAAACCTTTTCATACATTTCTTCAAAATTCTAAATAACTTTTTTTAAACATTACTGAACACACTTTCATACCAAATTCATTCCATTTATACTACCAAATTCATTCAAAACTATACATTTAATTTATATTTTCAGGGAAAAAATAATATTCAATATTATAATCTTAATCTACGAACCCAATCTACAACGATAAACATATTTATATGTTATACATTTATGCTCAAATCATTCATATATTGCGCTAATTTTTCACGAAAGAAACGTTTTAACATTATACAAAATAACCAAAAAACAAAAAAAAACAAACAAAAACTTACCAACATAGTCACTAATATTATAGTTTCACAACAATTAATACGTATTATGAACAAAATATTTTGTTTATACAAAAAAACTAAAAAAATACCTATAGTGACGATTTACAAAAACAAAATCACATAATGTGATTTACAGTTTCATTTTTTTTTTTTTTAATTTATTGAAATACAAAAACAAATACTAACATGAAGGATCCATCTTCCACCATATTTAATTAATATTGATACGTAGTTGTCCATCACAACAAAATCAAGATTTTTTAAACAGAAAAAACTTCAATTAGTCGACAGTGACAAGATTTCTGGAAAAAAATCGAAGAGAGAGAAACGTGGGAGAATTTTTTTTTATTGATAAAATCATAATTTTTAATTAAATTTAACAAATTAGAGTGAATTAAGGAAACTGGATATTCTTAATTAGTTTGAATTTCGTTAATTCATGCTAATTAATAATTATCTTCAATCATTTCAAATCTAATTAACACCCCTATTTCCGTTTTTACCTTTTTTTATTCCAGAAACGTTTTATTTTAATTTTTTTTAAAACAAATGTTTTCAATTATTAAAAACAATTTTTTTTAATAAACTGTTAGAACCTGAATTTTTTAATGTTACAACTTGAAAGTTTAATTCTACTGTTATAACTTGAAAATATTAGTCTAATATATGTCATATATTAAATTTTCACGTTTATGAAAGATATGTTGTGTGCATTTGTTTGTTTGGTGTAACATCGAGTGCATGTAAACTTTTATTTGGATGAAATTATTTCTCCCTTATTAAATGTAATAAAAAAGATTCCATTTAGAGATTTTACACAAATCTGAATAAATGATTTCATATGACATTCATGCTACGGTAAGTAATAGCATGTAGTTTGTGGTAAAGAATATTTTTGAATCTTATAGTTCAAAATAAAAAATATATCAAATATCTTTTAATCTTGTGTGGAAAGTTGAAACTAAAGAGTTGTTAAAATAAAACTAATTATGTAAATTTTCTTTACTAAATAAGACAAAAAAAGAAGTATGTCAAACAAATTGAAATGAAGGAATACAGTAAATTCTTTATAGAGAAAATTATGCAGAATATCAAATATTTAGCCTATAATAGGTACTATAGCTACAGTTTAAGAAAATTGTAATTCGCAGCTACAGTTTCCACAGTTCTTGCTATTCACCTGATTTGTATAGTTAGCTTGATTTGTATAAATTTAGAATTTGTATAATTCGTTTTTTGATTGTATAAATCCAGAATTTTGTATATGCTTACCCTAACTATTTGTATACGATTTATGTAAAATCATATTAAATTACCATGTTTGTATGTTGGCAAGCAAAATATACAAATAGAGTTTCTGAAAAATCCTAAATGTATAAATACAAAATTTGTATATACTTACCCTATTTGCATAATCGCAAGCGAAATATACAAACCGCAGCCTCCATAGCAAATAGAACTATTACTATGGAACACAATAATCAAAACTATAGCTATAGAACCTTATTATGCTTATTACGTTTGCTATTTCTAAAAAATAATTCTATCTTAGTTGAGATAGTAAGTTGACCCGAACATCACTATTTAGTTTGATTTCTTTTGTAAAAGTTGTCTCAAGTAGACACTGGCCCAACACCTGACCCACTTGCCTAATTCAACCGGCCCAATCCACTAGAAGTAAACTCAAATCTCAATTCCCAATTCACCAAAGAGTTCCTAATTCTCTAGGGTTTCTCACTCAAATCCTATCGGAGACCGTAGAGAGATTAAGGGCGATTCGTTGTCCGATGGATCTAGAGGTGGTCGGCCGCCATGCCCTCTTCTTCGACGACGACTCCCTGGCGGCATTTGTCAACTCCGGCGATGCGCTTGTCGATTGGAACTCTCTCCAGATTGATCGTTACGATGTTCGCCACCTTCTCTCCGCTCCTCCACCTTCCCGGCGTCGATCTCACTCTTCTTCTTCGTATAACCTCGTTGATGCTTCAATTCAGCTCGAGCTCGATCATGAACGTTACCTCGATCTTCCTCTGCCTTCAGATGAACCAGGTAAAATTAATTCTTGCTTCCTTCCTTTGTATTTTTTGTTTAAACGTGGTGCGGATGAATTTTCGTGTATGTATTATGTTGATTTTAGCATAAAACTGTTTAGGAGTTAACAATTGGCTAGCTGATGTTAATATCTGTTAAGCTGTTCATAAAATGTTTAGAAATTAACAATCTGATAAACGATGATGAGTGGCTAGGTGATGCTAATATCTGTTAAGTGGTTCTTTCTGCTATCCGTGTGTATATATTGTTGATTTTAGCATAAAATATTTGTGGAAATGTAGCATGCTGCCTGCCTAGCTTGCGGCTGTAGCAATTTTTTTAGCTTCACTATATGACCTATTATATACATATCTGTAACTCAGAACTAGTAAGATTGTTCTTGCTTATCAATGCACGTACCATTATGTTAACATCATTTCTATCTGTCTGTAGTCTTTTTCCTGTTGCTTCTGCGTGAAACTGCTGCTCTTGGGTAGTATGCCAGTATGATTATATGAATATGATCCTATGATTTCTTCCCTCAGATTTAGAAGAAGGTGATGAGTCGGCAGATGCTGTTGCCTATCGTGCTGTGGGTTTCTCATATGGAAACACGGATGATTTTGCTGACAGGAAAAGTTCTGAGGTCCAGGAAAGCTCTGGCTTCCGTCCCTCCTTTCAAGTGCCTGAAAATCTTCTTCAGTGCTTGGTAAGCTTGCGCTCTTCTTCCTTTTTTTGGTCTGTTTTCATAAAGCTTGGATATTGGTGTTTACATGCTAACGAGGTTTTCCCATGTGGCCAATGCTACAAGTTGTCCAAACAATATGTTATTCTAAGGCTCACTGTGTCTAAGTTTTCAGATGCTCGGAGCAGGGATGGAGTTCCTTTGATCTAAGGTTGCCACTCACAGGCACCTTGTTCCCTTTTGATGCATGACCAAGGGGCAGTGCAGGTGGGATTAGGAATATGAAAAGTTTTCTTTGTAAGGACAATTGTTGCTAATTGAGAGGGATCTTCCCTTAATCACTTGATATTGCTCTTTTACTTTCACTAATGGATACACATACTTGTTGATTGATATGTTTAAAGCTTCAGTTGTATCTAAGGTTCTGGCTTATTTTTATCCAGAATTGTGAATTCTACATTTTAATGGAGTCTTTGTTGCTTTGGTTTTCTATCTTTTTGCAGCCACCAACGGAAAAATTGCATCAAATAATTGCAAGGACTGCTCTGTTTGTGAGCAAACATGGTGGGCAGTCAGAAATTGTTCTCAGGGTGAAGCAGGGAAACAATCCAACATTTGGGTTCTTAATGCCTGACCATGGTCTTCATCCATACTTTAGGTTTCTTGTTGATCATCCTGAACTTTTACAATCTGATAGTGATTTGAATGCTCAAAGTGAAGGAACGAAGACTTCTAATGAGCACAAGGAACATGACGGTGGTGGAGGTGCTTTATCTATGCTTGGTTCTGTTTATGGGTTCGGGGAGGATGAGGAGCCTGCAAATGGGGATGATCCTGGATCCAGAGTTTCCAGTGTACAAGTGGAGTCCTTGGATACCTCTAACATTTCCCGTCCACTTGAAAGGGCTGAATCTAGTTCTAAGGCATTTGAAAATGGTGAGAATGAAACAGATGAGAAAGGTTCTACTCATTCACTTCGTTCTAGTAAAGATAAAGAAAAGGTTCCTTCACTGAAAAAGAATAATTTGGTTAGTGCTTCCAAGAGTGGTAGTAGAAGTAGCATGCGGAAGGAAAGTGACTTTAGTTCTTCTGCTGCAGCAGAAAAGTCAAAGACAGACATTTCTGGTCTAGGAGCAGTGTCCAAGACTGGACCGATGGTGGAGCCTCCATTTGAACTGAAGAGATTGATTGATAAGATAGTGGAGTTCATTCTGAGGAATGGGAAGCAGTTTGAGTCAACTCTTATGGAACAGGACAGTAAACATGGGAGATTCCCATTTCTCCTTCCGTCCAACCAATATCATCCTTACTATATAAAAGTACTCCAGAAAGCTCAAGAGGTGAAAGCTCTTTCTCTGTCTGGGAACGTCATATGGGTTCCTCTGCATTTACATGGCTAAAGTTTTTTTAATTAACTAAATTTGAGCATAATTTTGGTTTCTCGATCTTAGCATTTTCTTCTTTGTACTAATTATTAGCACAAAAAAAATTAGCAGTATTTTTCTCTTTGGTTCTGGATTATTGGCGTAGATAATGCATGTGAACCTGGTTATACTACCTCCCCTTTGGAGAGAAGTGTGAAATTACTTTTAACATTGTGTCCTTTCTCCTCTTTGTTGTGCAGTCAAAAGTCCATGGATCAGAAAAGAGATCTTCTTTGAAGGAAAATGATTCTACCTCTTTAAGGTCTGCGGAGTATGATCTGCCATATGTATTTGATAAGAAAGAGAAGTTTAAGATGGTGATTGGCAAATCCAAGAAGGAAACACAAGACTCTCTGACTAGAACTTCAGAGCAAGAGGCTGGGGTGAATGTGGATGCTGCTGCCG